TCCCTCCTGAAGACAGGGCAGGGGTGAGGGCCCAGCTGACAGCTCTGTGGGCCATATACACCTACAGGACCCATCTCTGCATCTTTAGATACACATGGTCCCAGTGCCTCATTTTACTTACAAGGGACTGAAGTGCAGAAACACCAAGTGACTTGCCCAAGGTCAGACAACCAGCAAACACTGGCCCCCTGAGCCCTGAGACATTAGGGAAGTGTCCCTGACAGGTGGGGAGATGTGCTAGGTGAAGTGGGCACAGGGCCTGGCTATTTGCCAAAAGGGCACAGAGCAGGGATTCAATAATGATTGTTGTTGATTCCGGTGACTTGCTCTCTGTGGAATTTCGCACTCGTCATGCTCCCTACTCGGGATGGAGTGCCATTTCTTTCCTCCCTCTGACTCCAGGGAAGATGCAGTCTACTTTTTCTGTCCCCATCTCTGCCCTCTCACTCTCCAAGGATCATGGAAGTTCAGAGAGCAGAGGGCGGACAGACAGAATGCCTGGATACTGGAATGGTCCTCAGCTAATGTTTTGCCAGGTTGCACATCTGGAATGTGTCTGTGTGGGGGTGTGGTTGGGGCTCTCAAGGCCTGAAAATCAAGAGATGTGGTTTTCAGTTTTAGCTGTGTGGCCCTCGGCATGTCACTTCCCCTCTCTGGGCCTCAGTTTTCTCCCCTGAAAAATATTTTTTTCCCTGCTGTCCTACCAGTGGTGTGCTGATCTTGTGTTCACTAACCAGCTCTCCTTCACCTCCCAAAAAGCTCTGATTTGTAGTATTTGCTAATTTCCATGGATAAATACTCCCACCCATGATGGCCGATTTGCCTGATTTCCCTGAACCTGTGGAGCCGGGAAGACATGGGCACCATTGACTCTCACAGGCCCATGGCAGCCGTCTCCAGCACTCCACCGCCTGCTTCCCTCTGGGACAAAGGGAGGGTGAAATGAGATGATGGATACAAAAGTGCCTGTAAACTGCCGAGAGCTTTATGGATGTGGAGTTGCAATGATGATCTTCCTTACAGTTGAAGGGACTCCAGGGCACAGTCCACCACTGAGAGGCCTGGCCTAGCCCCAGCCCAGAAAGGGGCAGGCTGTGGGTTGGGGGAGCCCACACTAAGAGGCGGGGTCCTGAGAGTCATCTGGGGTAGCTTCCTGGGATCTGAGAAAGGAGGAGAGCTGACTGGACCACCTGCATTGGTGTGCTGATATTTGTGCACACAGGCATCCTATTGTGTTCCCTGGAACTGAAGCAGGTAGGATAAAGGTTAGACTTCAAGGAAAGATTCCTCCTTGAAGAATCAGCTGCCAGCCCCAGGACACAGGAGCCATCAGAGAGGCCTCCTGAGGGACCCAGAAATCACCCTCTCCTTCCTACTCTAATCTCTGGAAGTTTCTACTGGCACTGGCTCTGCCAGGGGCATGGCTTAGAATGATCTCTGAGGCCAGAGAGTCTAGAGAATGGAAGTTTAGCCTCTGGCAATGGGGGAGGTGGGTGTCAGAAAGACAGGTGGGTGGCACAGGAGTTTCCTTTGCTCTCCCTTCCCCCACCTTAGAGCTCATGCTTTAAATTAACACTATCCCACTGCTAATTATTAATAATAGCTATCATTTATTGAGCATATACTTATGCATTAAGCTATTTACAAGCAGTAGTTCATCTAATCCTTCAGAGAGATACGTATTATTAGCACTATTTTGCAAATGAGGAAACTGAGGCCCAGGAAAGGAACTTCAGTGACTTGTCCAACTGAAGTCCTGCAGTGACTGGGATTCAAGCCCAGTGACCCTAGAGCTTCTGATCTAGATCATCCAACTTCAGGGGCTCTGCAGGCTACTCCAGGGAGGGGTCAGCAGCCACAGCAGCCTCACCCGCTCCCATAGGGAGCTTTTCCCTGTGCAGGACAGGAGTGCCCACCCGGCTACCCTCAACCCCATATACACCAGTCAGACCCCTCTGCCCAGCCCCTGAGGTGGGAGGGCCCTTTTGAATGCAATTGGTGGAGGAACCCCCCTGTTAGAAGCTATGGGGTCTTGGACAAGTCACTTAACCTCTTCTCTGGCCCTCCTTTCCTCCTTTGTAGAATAGAGCTTTTGCTGAGGCGACCAAGGGGCTACCACTGAATCAGGAGTCATTTATAAAACCTCTCCAGAGAAGCCCTCCATTGAGGAGCGTTCAGGGACTTCTGCATCCTTAATGCAAATGAAGGGTGGGCCTCTGAACACTGCAGAGCCTCCCTGGCTCTGATCCTGCCCCTGGGGCTATGAGGATGTGGGGTGGTGGGGTGACCTAGCCAGGATAGGAAAGTCGGGACTGTGAACTGAAGCTTTTAGTTAAGACTCTGACATGCAGGAAGTCAGCCCTGGCTACAGATAACATCCTAGGATATAGGGTTTGGCACAAGGATGTGTGTGAGGCAGGTGCAGCAAGGGTCCTTCTGGGAAGGCCAAACCCTAAGAGCTGTGGCTCAAACGGAGGCTCAGAGAGGCCTCCTCAGGTTCATGTCTCAGAGGAGTACAGCTAAGGTCTGAGCCCCCTGAGACCAGGTATACAAGGCAGGGCTAGAAAAGGCAGCTGCCTTCTGTGTGTGGGGTCATTAGTGATCTCCCCAGACCCACCAGGCCTGCAGCAGTGAAAACATCAGGGTGAGGAGAGTCTGGGGTCAGAGGCCACAGCCTCATTTGGACAATGAAGCCAGATGTGTGACATGCATCCATGAGCATTTTCTACATGCTAGACACCTTATACACATCATCTTGTTTAATCTTCATGATGACCCTGTGAGGTGGGTCCAAAAGCCCTATACATTAGAGGAACTGAGATACAGAGAATTACACAGTTTGTTCAAAATCATACAGCCAGGAAGTGACATAGCTGGGACTCAGGCTCAGTTTGGCCCAAATCCAAAGCATTTGCTCTTAACCGCATGCTATTCTGTCACGAGAGAGAACAGCTACCACGGCCCCACCGGTGACAAAGCCTGAGGCCTAGGGGAAGAAGGCGCCTGGCCTTGCTTCTGGGGGTTTAGGAGAACGCCTTGGGAAAGCAGTTCTGGGCTGCGGCCAGGTGGGGGGCAGGCCCCAGCTGTCCAGGAGCTGTCCAGGGAGTTGCGGGGAGGGGGCAGGCCAGCAGTCATGCGGAGCTGGAGGTGGGCTGCCCTGCCCCTTGGGCCCCATGCCTGCTCCTCTGTGGTGTCCAATTACGGCCAGCTCTGCGCTTCCCTGTCACGCCACATTTACTGTTGCCGAGCAGTGGGCGCGGGACATGGCGAAGAGGTGGCGGAGACTCTTGAAGGGGCGGGAGAGCCTCCCACCAGGCCCCCACCCAGCTACCAGGCCCTCCACCACTGATCCCCTCAGGGATTTGGGCAAATGCCCTCCCTTCCTGTCCCCGATATCCCCTGTCAACAAAGGAGCGAGTTCATTTAGCAAAGATGTGCCGACCTCAGGCTGGGCACCATGGGGCCACTGAGGCCATCTATCCCTCCCAGAGCTCCTGGGAGGACCTGCCTTGGGACATGCATAGAGGAAGTCTTGAGTAAGTTGGGAGTGTGAACTTCATGCTTTTCTTGTTGGCTGTCCCACCAGTTCATCCCAGCCCCACCCTGACCCCCACCAAATGAACAAAATGTAGGAAGAGTGCAGCTTTCAGAGTTGGACAGATCTGGGTTTGAATCCTGACTCTATCAAGGATTAACTATGGGACTGGGGCAAGTCATGTAACCCCTCTGAGCCTCCGTTCCCTCATCTGGAAAGTGGGGTTAATGATGTGCCTTCCTCACAGGTTTGTTCTGACAAAGCAATGAGAAAATTCCCCAAATCATTTACACGGTGGCCCACCCAGGGCAGGCCCTCCGCAAACAGTGGCCTTTATCAGAGACTGCTCGGGCAAAGAGAAGGAATTTTAAGAACTGCCCTTTGCAGGTAGTGGGAAAGGAAGTCAGAGAGCTGAGGATGGTAGCAGTAGCAGAAGCCGTGCTACTAATGATATCAATAACAAGAGTTGCCATTTATAAAGTGCTTACTATGTGCTAGGTGCTGTGATAAATACTTCCTCTGCGTGGTTCCGTTTACTGCAGCATCCATGCAAGCTAGGTTCTTCTCTCTCTGTGCTTTGTAGCTGATGATGCTGAAGCTCAGAGAGCCTGGCTGACACTGCAAGCGAGGAAAGGCCAAGGCTGACTTTGAGCTGAGCCCTCTTAACCACTCAGTTGGGCTGGGACAGAGTTCCCTAATTCTAGAAGGTCTGAGCAGAGAGAGCCCTGAGATACCATCTAGGCTGAACCCCTCATTTTTTGAATGGTGAAAACTGAAGCCCAGGAAGGGCAGCAGCCTGCACAGGCACAGGTGCAAGGTGGGCTTTGAAGGATGGAGCGGACACGGCACATGCCAGCTTCCCCCACAGGCCAGCGGTGGCCTCCCTGGTGCCATGCCAAGCTCACGGGGCCACTAGGCAACCAGGACCTCTCAAGTCCCCAGGTGCACACTGTGGTCATGCCAGCCAAGCCACGGCCCCCGAGGATGACACCACAGGCCCAGCCTCTGCCGAGAGCTGGGTGACCTGCCGTGAGCATCACTCCCACCCCAGGCCTGGGCCCGACCCAGTCTCCAGCTCCCCCTCCTCTCAGGCCACGACCCAGAGGGCCTGCCACAGTCACCTAGACGGGGGACAGAGGGGGCACAGGAGCCGGAGGCAGGGCCTTGCTGTGAGTCCTACTGATTCACTGCTCTGCTGCCTCCTGCGCGGGGCCTGGCAGGGTCCCTCCGGCTCCGTTCTCCCCACCAGTCTTCTCCTGTGTCTTTCTTGCTCTGTCTCTCCTGTTGTTTGCCTTCTTCCTTCTGTTTCTAATGTTTCTCTCAGTTTGTCTGTCATCTGTCAGTCTCCCTCTCTCTCTCATCAGATGTCTGGCTGGGGTCAGGGTCCCTGCCCAGGGATGGGGTGGGAGGGAGGTGGTGGGCCTGGGTTGCTCATCCTGGATGCCGGTCCTCACTCTCACCACAGCGGGCTTTCTTTGAGGCCAGGACTGGGTGATGGTGTCACTCCTCCCGCCGCAGTCTGACGTCACGCTGCCCAGCCCGGCCAGACTGGAGGGCGAGCCCCAAGGGGACCTCATGCAGGCACCGGGCCTCCCAGGCTCCCCTGCCCCACAGAGTGTAAGTACCTAACACCCCGGCCTGGGCTGAGGCCAAAGCCTGAGGGCTCCAGAGCAGCAGGTGGACCAGTCACCCCCACCCCCAGGGACATCCCAGGATCTGTCCGGTTCCTTCCACCAGCAAACGAGTACCCAGTGAGCCCAGGATCCACAAGTGTTCCGATATGGGCCTATGCTTGTCCCTGCAGTCTGGCACCTTCCCAGGACAGGGCTGTGCATCCATCCAACTGGGGGCACCCCAGGTACGGAGCAGTATGCTCTCATCAGATTGGGTCTTCCAAGGGTAGGCCATGTCTCTTCCATCATTTAGGGCCCCCCCCCACCCAGAGCTCAGTCATAGCCCCTTTACCCTAGCACACAGTAGGGTCCTGGTCCAACCTCTGCTCACAGGCTCTCTACCCTCTGTCCACCCTAGAAGCATGCCGGCTTCAGCTGCTCATCATTTGTGCCTGACAGACCCCCAGAAAGGGCTTCCTCACTGCCCCCACAAAGTCCCAGCGTCGCATCACCAGGTCCCGAGCAAGTCCACTGCCCAGCCGGCCCAGGTCCGGGCCCCTTCCGGCTCTCACCCTCAGACAAGTACCCCAGCTTCAGCTTTGAGGAGAGCCCAGCAAGCAGCCCTGGGCGCTTCCTCAAGGGCAGCCATGTGCCTTTCCACCCATACAAGCGGCATTTCCATGAGGACGTCTTTCCTGAGGCTCAGACTGCCCTGGCCCTCGATGGACACTCCTTTAAGACCCCAGGGGTGCTGGAGACCTTCGAGGAGATCCCCGTGGATGTGGGGGAAACCGAGGCCTTCCTGCCTGGCTTCTCAGCAGAGACCTGGTGCAATGGGCTCCCCTACCCCAGCCAGGAGCACAGCCCCCAAGTCCTGGTGAGTATCAGTGGCCAGTGGGCACCCTACTTACTCCGTCCCAGTTCCCAGAGCCCAGAACAAGTCCTCTGAGGTAGAACTCCCCACCTTCCCTCACCAGACCTTTCCACTCAGGATCAGTGTGCACCAGGGAAGCAGCAGAATCAGAGAGTTGGGGTCTCTTGGCTTTATTCTGGGCCTCCAGGTCAGCTGGAGAGGGGATGCCGGCCTGGGCCGGCCTGCAAGGGCAAGGTCGGGGAGGCAGGTCAGGCCAAGGAAGCTGGCAGCCTCCCAGGGGCTCCTGAGTCAGGATTCTAGTGTGTGACTTCTGTTTGTTTAAGTGTCAAGAATCCCCAGCCAGACCTACGCACCCATATGCAAATGTGAGAAGAAAAACACATTCCAGAGGCCAAGAGAAAGGGTTTAGGGAGGAGCCACAGAGTACAATATTCCTCTCTCCAGCATCAGTACACGGAGTTGAGAAAGGACTTACATTTTCTCAAAGGACACTTCCGGGCCCCATCCTTTGCCCAGAGTGGGGCCTGTGTATATTCAGAGAAATATCTTGAAAGCACCTTGGAAGGTCAATGTGTCCTTCCCATACTCACAAGCTGTATGACCTTGGGCAAACCACTTAACCAACCTGAGCTTCTCCCAAAAAGTATGGTTACTAGTCCTGCCTCATAGGTGTGGTACCTTGGGAAGAAGAAAATGACAGAGAGCTTTGCTTCCCACTCCAGTCCTGGTTTGGAGGTCCCTGAGGTGCTGAGCCCTGGGTGTGGGTGCCCACTGGCTCTCCTCTCCTCTTGCTATCAGACAGGCTCCCATTCCATCTCCAGGCCACGCCCAACAAAGGCCTGTTTACGGGCTTGGAAGATAGACAGGCGCCCACCAGGTGTGGCTGAAGCAGGGCCTTGTTCATATTCTGGGGCCCTTCGACAGCTTCTGCTCAGGCCCATTGAACAGGACAGTAGCCCACAGTGAGGGCACCGTCATGTCGGCTATCATCCCCCAGATGTCCACCCAGCACTAGACCCTGGCCGTTTGCTATGCCAGATGTTTCTCTTTCAAGTGTTAAATCCTCACAGCCCATTAAAGAGTTCCCACTATCCCATTTTTCTGATGAGGAAACTGAGACTTCATAGAGGCAAGTGACTGGCTGGAGTTGTCCCTCAGCAAGGAAGGGGTGAGGCTGCGATTTGAGCCCACTCCCTTACCCCCAACACAGTGGAGAAGAGCTCAGGCCCAGAGACTCACGGCGAGCTGACCCACTTACTGGGTGACCTTGGGCACATCATTTCCTCCCTGTGGGCTCAGCCCCATCATCTCCCAAATGAGGGGGTTGGACACGGTGCTCTTGCCCTTCCAGGCCTGAGATTCTATAATTATGGCTATCCCTGCATCAGCAACCCCAGGGCACACCGTGAAAGAGCTCATAGCTGATTTGACCCACTGGGCCCCAATGCTGGTTCCCAAGGCCCCTGGCAACCCCAGGAGGAGTGGGTAACCAGGTAACCTCCTCCTGGTCTTGTTCACTTTCCAGTACCTAGCTGTACCCTCCGTCTAGCCCTACTCAGAGCAGAGCTCTGTGCTAGACCCTAGGAGCTCCATGTGGGGCTCCCAACCCATGGGAAGCTAGAGTCTGGCCACCACCAGCAGCAACAGCTGCAGGCTCCCTGTGCCAGGGTGAGAGGGTACCATGGGGCAAATGGGTAGACTGCCTGGCCCAGGGAGCAAAGGCCCTGGGTTGGGATGGCCCAGGGACAGGGCAGAGCCGACTCACCAGGCCCCTCTGGAGAGCTTGCTGGCACTCCTTTGGGCTCTGCACAAGTAGTGGTGGCAGCCCCGGGAGCCCCAGCCAGACCAGCCTGCCTGGCCACTGCCTGAGCTCCCCTCCCCCGCCGCTCTGCAGGATAAATTCTAGAGCAGTGGCCTTTTCCAGGGGACCTTCACACACCTGCTCTGAGAGGCTGGCCGCGCTGAAACCGCAAACAGACCCTGAGTCAGGCTTGGTGATGGGGGTCGGGCACTGCACCCCTCTGTCCCTCCAGGGAAATCTCTGGCCCTACCCCAGCCTCGGTGTGACTACTGGCAAGCCGGCAAGCCTCCCCCACCTCTCTGGACAGCCAGCCTCTGAGTCTCGCCGCAGGGAGGTACCGGGTAGGGAGCAGTAGTTGTTGATTCCAGCCCCAGCTCCACCACTCACTTGCTGAGGCCCCACAGGAAACCCCCTGCCCTCCTCTGTTCTCTATTTGTTCTCTACGAATAAGCTTTGGGGGAGGGAGAGTAAGGGTTGCTTTTGTGTAAGGTCTCAGACCCAGAGGAGAGGAAAGAAGAAAAATAAGGCCCAGCCTGGTCACGTGTTTTCTTCCTACAGGGTTCGGAAGTCAAAGTCAAGCCCCCAGCTCTGGAGAGTGGCCCTGGGCTGTACTGCTACCAGCCCCCTTTGCAGCACATGTACTGTCCCTCCCAGCCCCCCTTCCACCAGGTGGGTCTGCAGCAGGTGGGCACGCTTCCCCCAGTGTCTCAGGATGTATGGATGTGTTAGGGAATATGTGAGTGCACACCTGGGTGGACGGGTAGGGGCCACTGGGTCACCCAGGGTAGGGGACAGGGACCAATGGGGAGGGAAGCAATCATGTTTCTGTAGGGGTGGATGGGGCTTGTCTGAGACCCTGCCAGGGCCTGAAAGGCCTCAGAAAAGAGACTGGTTTTAAGCTTNGCCCTCAGGCAGGGGGCTGGTCCAGGCATGTGGGAGTATTTATACCTTGATGGAGGCTCCTGGGGTGTTGCTGGGCTGAATGACTCCCCGAAGCCCTGATGGTGGCCATGGCCCTGAGCCCACTGTGAGTGCTTGGATTCAGCTCCTTTGTGGTCTGGTCTGGGTGGCAGGGGGTAGAGGTGGGCTGGAGATGGGAAGGTACCCAGGATGGCCAGGGATGGTACCCAGGATGGCCAGGGATGGTGGAGAAGAAGTGGTGCTGGACAAAGGAGAGTGGGAAGATAGGAAGCTGTTGGAGTCAGGCATTTGCAGCAAGGCTGGGACCCACGCTGAAGAAGGAAAGGGTCCACTGCCATTTGTAAGCCTCTGGAGGGTCACTTGGTGATTGGCAGAAAGGACAGGGCAAGAGGACTAAGATTACAAGACAGATTCAGGTCAGCTATCTGGAAGAACTTTTTCAGGTCAGCTCCAGGCACGGAAAATAGCTCAAATACATTTTCGGGATGGGCAAACCAAGTGATGCTCTAGATTCAGCCTGCTTCCAGAGGCAGGGGAATGACCGTGGCCTTTGGGAGAGCCCTGATTCGGGAGACGGGAATGACTCAGTTGCAGGTGTCAGTGGCTCAGATTTGAGAAAAGCATCACAAGTGGGACATGATTGCTCTTTATCCTTTGTTCTTCTTCCCCTCTCCACCCCTTCCCCTTCTGTCCCTAGCTGCTTCACAAAGCTCTTCAATCAGACCTGGGGCAGGGGCAGCTGACCCATTTCCTGAAAACGAGATGGGTCAAGAGCCAGAGGAGCCAGAAATCTGGCTAAGAAATCCCACCCTTGAAAAGATAGAGGAGTTTAGAAACCCCCTCTTCCTTGGCATCCCTAGGCTTCTGGTATCCAAGCCTCAGGAGCAGCCCCCAGGCCCTTCCCTGCCACCCCCAACTAGGTAATTACCGAACTGCTCCAGGGGACCCCTCCCAGCAGCCAGGCAGGTGGAGCCTGGGTGGGGCCACAGGCAGCCCTGCGCCCAGCCCCACCTCTCGTAAAACATGCTGCCGCAGCCAGTGACAGAAACCATTAAGGCGGAACTGCACAGTCTCCACCTGCCCGTAAAGGGTGGGTAGGAGGCAGCGGCTGGGAGGGAGTGTGGAGAGAGCCCAGTGAAGGCCCTTGACTCAGCTGCCCAGTGGGGATGCAGGGCCAGACCCTCCAAGGAAACCTCCAACCTCGCCCCCTGCCAGCCACACTGGCCTCCAGGTGTGAGCAAGGAAGCTGATTGTTCCCGAGGTTGGGACTTGGGACGGGCCATGTAGTAGTTAAGCACATTGGCTTTGAAGCCTGTGTCTGAATCCTGGGGAGCATAATTTACTAGCTGAGTGAACTTGGGCAAGTCAGGTTAACCTCTCTAAGCCTCAGTTTCCTCATCTATAAAATAAGAGTGGTAATATTAAATCACTCTTTTCTTGGACATATTAACTCCCCCAGCTGTTCCTGATCCCCTGGAGGATTTCCTCAGGCAGGTCCCTCCTGAAGACAGGGCAGGGGTGAGGGCCCAGCTGACAGCTCTGTGGGCCATATACACCTACAGGACCCATCTCTGCATCTTTAGATACACATGGTCCCAGTGCCTCATTTTACTTACAAGGGACTGAAGTGCAGAAACACCAAGTGACTTGCCCAAGGTCAGACAACCAGCAAACACTGGCCCCCTGAGCCCTGAGACATTAGGGAAGTGTCCCTGACAGGTGGGGAGATGTGCTAGGTGAAGTGGGCACAGGGCCTGGCTATTTGCCAAAAGGGCACAGAGCAGGGATTCAATAATGATTGTTGTTGATTCCGGTGACTTGCTCTCTGTGGAATTTCGCACTCGTCATGCTCCCTACTCGGGATGGAGTGCCATTTCTTTCCTCCCTCTGACTCCAGGGAAGATGCAGTCTACTTTTTCTGTCCCCATCTCTGCCCTCTCACTCTCCAAGGATCATGGAAGTTCAGAGAGCAGAGGGCGGACAGACAGAATGCCTGGATACTGGAATGGTCCTCAGCTAATGTTTTGCCAGGTTGCACATCTGGAATGTGTCTGTGTGGGGGTGTGGTTGGGGCTCTCAAGGCCTGAAAATCAAGAGATGTGGTTTTCAGTTTTAGCTGTGTGGCCCTCGGCATGTCACTTCCCCTCTCTGGGCCTCAGTTTTCTCCCCTGAAAAATATTTTTTTCCCTGCTGTCCTACCAGTGGTGTGCTGATCTTGTGTTCACTAACCAGCTCTCCTTCACCTCCCAAAAAGCTCTGATTTGTAGTATTTGCTAATTTCCATGGATAAATACTCCCACCCATGATGGCCGATTTGCCTGATTTCCCTGAACCTGTGGAGCCGGGAAGACATGGGCACCATTGACTCTCACAGGCCCATGGCAGCCGTCTCCAGCACTCCACCGCCTGCTTCCCTCTGGGACAAAGGGAGGGTGAAATGAGATGATGGATACAAAAGTGCCTGTAAACTGCCGAGAGCTTTATGGATGTGGAGTTGCAATGATGATCTTCCTTACAGTTGAAGGGACTCCAGGGCACAGTCCACCACTGAGAGGCCTGGCCTAGCCCCAGCCCAGAAAGGGGCAGGCTGTGGGTTGGGGGAGCCCACACTAAGAGGCGGGGTCCTGAGAGTCATCTGGGGTAGCTTCCTGGGATCTGAGAAAGGAGGAGAGCTGACTGGACCACCTGCATTGGTGTGCTGATATTTGTGCACACAGGCATCCTATTGTGTTCCCTGGAACTGAAGCAGGTAGGATAAAGGTTAGACTTCAAGGAAAGATTCCTCCTTGAAGAATCAGCTGCCAGCCCCAGGACACAGGAGCCATCAGAGAGGCCTCCTGAGGGACCCAGAAATCACCCTCTCCTTCCTACTCTAATCTCTGGAAGTTTCTACTGGCACTGGCTCTGCCAGGGGCATGGCTTAGAATGATCTCTGAGGCCAGAGAGTCTAGAGAATGGAAGTTTAGCCTCTGGCAATGGGGGAGGTGGGTGTCAGAAAGACAGGTGGGTGGCACAGGAGTTTCCTTTGCTCTCCCTTCCCCCACCTTAGAGCTCATGCTTTAAATTAACACTATCCCACTGCTAATTATTAATAATAGCTATCATTTATTGAGCATATACTTATGCATTAAGCTATTTACAAGCAGTAGTTCATCTAATCCTTCAGAGAGATACGTATTATTAGCACTATTTTGCAAATGAGGAAACTGAGGCCCAGGAAAGGAACTTCAGTGACTTGTCCAACTGAAGTCCTGCAGTGACTGGGATTCAAGCCCAGTGACCCTAGAGCTTCTGATCTAGATCATCCAACTTCAGGGGCTCTGCAGGCTACTCCAGGGAGGGGTCAGCAGCCACAGCAGCCTCACCCGCTCCCATAGGGAGCTTTTCCCTGTGCAGGACAGGAGTGCCCACCCGGCTACCCTCAACCCCATATACACCAGTCAGACCCCTCTGCCCAGCCCCTGAGGTGGGAGGGCCCTTTTGAATGCAATTGGTGGAGGAACCCCCCTGTTAGAAGCTATGGGGTCTTGGACAAGTCACTTAACCTCTTCTCTGGCCCTCCTTTCCTCCTTTGTAGAATAGAGCTTTTGCTGAGGCGACCAAGGGGCTACCACTGAATCAGGAGTCATTTATAAAACCTCTCCAGAGAAGCCCTCCATTGAGGAGCGTTCAGGGACTTCTGCATCCTTAATGCAAATGAAGGGTGGGCCTCTGAACACTGCAGAGCCTCCCTGGCTCTGATCCTGCCCCTGGGGCTATGAGGATGTGGGGTGGTGGGGTGACCTAGCCAGGATAGGAAAGTCGGGACTGTGAACTGAAGCTTTTAGTTAAGACTCTGACATGCAGGAAGTCAGCCCTGGCTACAGATAACATCCTAGGATATAGGGTTTGGCACAAGGATGTGTGTGAGGCAGGTGCAGCAAGGGTCCTTCTGGGAAGGCCAAACCCTAAGAGCTGTGGCTCAAACGGAGGCTCAGAGAGGCCTCCTCAGGTTCATGTCTCAGAGGAGTACAGCTAAGGTCTGAGCCCCCTGAGACCAGGTATACAAGGCAGGGCTAGAAAAGGCAGCTGCCTTCTGTGTGTGGGGTCATTAGTGATCTCCCCAGACCCACCAGGCCTGCAGCAGTGAAAACATCAGGGTGAGGAGAGTCTGGGGTCAGAGGCCACAGCCTCATTTGGACAATGAAGCCAGATGTGTGACATGCATCCATGAGCATTTTCTACATGCTAGACACCTTATACACATCATCTTGTTTAATCTTCATGATGACCCTGTGAGGTGGGTCCAAAAGCCCTATACATTAGAGGAACTGAGATACAGAGAATTACACAGTTTGTTCAAAATCATACAGCCAGGAAGTGACATAGCTGGGACTCAGGCTCAGTTTGGCCCAAATCCAAAGCATTTGCTCTTAACCGCATGCTATTCTGTCACGAGAGAGAACAGCTACCACGGCCCCACCGGTGACAAAGCCTGAGGCCTAGGGGAAGAAGGCGCCTGGCCTTGCTTCTGGGGGTTTAGGAGAACGCCTTGGGAAAGCAGTTCTGGGCTGCGGCCAGGTGGGGGGCAGGCCCCAGCTGTCCAGGAGCTGTCCAGGGAGTTGCGGGGAGGGGGCAGGCCAGCAGTCATGCGGAGCTGGAGGTGGGCTGCCCTGCCCCTTGGGCCCCATGCCTGCTCCTCTGTGGTGTCCAATTACGGCCAGCTCTGCGCTTCCCTGTCACGCCACATTTACTGTTGCCGAGCAGTGGGCGCGGGACATGGCGAAGAGGTGGCGGAGACTCTTGAAGGGGCGGGAGAGCCTCCCACCAGGCCCCCACCCAGCTACCAGGCCCTCCACCACTGATCCCCTCAGGGATTTGGGCAAATGCCCTCCCTTCCTGTCCCCGATATCCCCTGTCAACAAAGGAGCGAGTTCATTTAGCAAAGATGTGCCGACCTCAGGCTGGGCACCATGGGGCCACTGAGGCCATCTATCCCTCCCAGAGCTCCTGGGAGGACCTGCCTTGGGACATGCATAGAGGAAGTCTTGAGTAAGTTGGGAGTGTGAACTTCATGCTTTTCTTGTTGGCTGTCCCACCAGTTCATCCCAGCCCCACCCTGACCCCCACCAAATGAACAAAATGTAGGAAGAGTGCAGCTTTCAGAGTTGGACAGATCTGGGTTTGAATCCTGACTCTATCAAGGATTAACTATGGGACTGGGGCAAGTCATGTAACCCCTCTGAGCCTCCGTTCCCTCATCTGGAAAGTGGGGTTAATGATGTGCCTTCCTCACAGGTTTGTTCTGACAAAGCAATGAGAAAATTCCCCAAATCATTTACACGGTGGCCCACCCAGGGCAGGCCCTCCGCAAACAGTGGCCTTTATCAGAGACTGCTCGGGCAAAGAGAAGGAATTTTAAGAACTGCCCTTTGCAGGTAGTGGGAAAGGAAGTCAGAGAGCTGAGGATGGTAGCAGTAGCAGAAGCCGTGCTACTAATGATATCAATAACAAGAGTTGCCATTTATAAAGTGCTTACTATGTGCTAGGTGCTGTGATAAATACTTCCTCTGCGTGGTTCCGTTTACTGCAGCATCCATGCAAGCTAGGTTCTTCTCTCTCTGTGCTTTGTAGCTGATGATGCTGAAGCTCAGAGAGCCTGGCTGACACTGCAAGCGAGGAAAGGCCAAGGCTGACTTTGAGCTGAGCCCTCTTAACCACTCAGTTGGGCTGGGACAGAGTTCCCTAATTCTAGAAGGTCTGAGCAGAGAGAGCCCTGAGATACCATCTAGGCTGAACCCCTCATTTTTTGAATGGTGAAAACTGAAGCCCAGGAAGGGCAGCAGCCTGCACAGGCACAGGTGCAAGGTGGGCTTTGAAGGATGGAGCGGACACGGCACATGCCAGCTTCCCCCACAGGCCAGCGGTGGCCTCCCTGGTGCCATGCCAAGCTCACGGGGCCACTAGGCAACCAGGACCTCTCAAGTCCCCAGGTGCACACTGTGGTCATGCCAGCCAAGCCACGGCCCCCGAGGATGACACCACAGGCCCAGCCTCTGCCGAGAGCTGGGTGATCTGCCGTGAGCATCACTCCCACCCCAGGCCTGGGCCCGACCCAGTCTCCAGCTCCCCCTCCTCTCAGGCCATGACCCAGAGGGCCTGCCACAGTCACCTAGACGGGGGACAGAGGGGGCACAGGAGCCGGAGGCAGGGCCTTGCTGTGAGTCCTACTGATTCACTGCTCTGCTGCCTCCTGCGCGGGGCCTGGCAGGGTCCCTCCGGCTCCGTTCTCCCCACCAGTCTTCTCCTGTGTCTTTCTTGCTCTGTCTCTCCTGTTGTTTGCCTTCTTCCTTCTGTTTCTAATGTTTCTCTCAGTTTGTCTGTCATCTGTCAGTCTCCCTCTCTCTCTCATCAGATGTCTGGCTGGGGTCAGGGTCCCTGCCCAGGGATGGGGTGGGAGGGAGGTGGTGGGCCTGGGTTGCTCATCCTGGATGCCGGTCCTCACTCTCACCACAGCGGGCTTTCTTTGAGGCCAGGACTGGGTGATGGTGTCACTCCTCCCGCCGCAGTCTGACGTCACGCTGCCCAGCCCGGCCAGACTGGAGGGCGAGCCCCAAGGGGACCTCATGCAGGCACCGGGCCTCCCAGGCTCCCCTGCCCCACAGAGTGTAAGTACCTAACACCCCGGCCTGGGCTGAGGCCAAAGCCTGAGGGCTCCAGAGCAGCAGGTGGACCAGTCACCCCCACCCCCAGGGACATCCCAGGATCTGTCCGGTTCCTTCCACCAGCAAACGAGTACCCAGTGAGCCCAGGATCCACAAGTGTTCCGATATGGGCCTATGCTTGTCCCTGCAGTCTGGCACCTTCCCAGGACAGGGCTGTGCATCCATCCAACTGGGGGCACCCCAGGTACGGAGCAGTATGCTCTCATCAGATTGGGTCTTCCAAGGGTAGGCCATGTCTCTTCCATCATTTAGGGCCCCCCCCCACCCAGAGCTCAGTCATAGCCCCTTTACCCTAGCACACAGTAGGGTCCTGGTCCAACCTCTGCTCACAGGCTCTCTACCCTCTGTCCACCCTAGAAGCATGCCGGCTTCAGCTGCTCATCATTTGTGCCTGACAGACCCCCAGAAAGGGCTTCCTCACTGCCCCCACAAAGTCCCAGCGTCGCATCACCAGGTCCCGAGCAAGTCCACTGCCCAGCCGGCCCAGGTCCGGGCCCCTTCCGGCTCTCACCCTCAGACAAGTACCCCAGCTTCAGCTTTGAGGAGAGCCCAGCAAGCAGCCCTGGGCGCTTCCTCAAGGGCAGCCATGTGCCTTTCCACCCATACAAGCGGCATTTCCATGAGGACGTCTTTCCTGAGGCTCAGACTGCCCTGGCCCTCGATGGACACTCCTTTAAGACCCCAGGGGTGCTGGAGACCTTCGAGGAGATCCCCGTGGATGTGGGGGAAACCGAGGCCTTCCTGCCTGGCTTCTCAGCAGAGACCTGGTGCAATGGGCTCCCCTACCCCAGCCAGGAGCACAGCCCCCAAGTCCTGGTGAGTATCAGTGGCCAGTGGGCACCCTACTTACTCCGTCCCAGTTCCCAGAGCCCAGAACAAGTCCTCTGAGGTAGAACTCCCCACCTTCCCTCACCAGACCTTTCCACTCAGGATCAGTGTGCACCAGGGAAGCAGCAGAATCAGAGAGTTGGGGTCTCTTGGCTTTATTCTGGGCCTCCAGGTCAGCTGGAGAGGGGATGCCGGCCTGGGCCGGCCTGCAAGGGCAAGGTCGGGGAGGCAGGTCAGGCCAAGGAAGCTGGCAGCCTCCCAGGGGCTCCTGAGTCAGGATTCTAGTGTGTGACTTCTGTTTGTTTAAGTGTCAAGAATCCCCAGCCAGACCTACGCACCCATATGCAAATGTGAGAAGAAAAACACATTCCAGAGGCCAAGAGAAAGGGTTTAGGGAGGAGCCACAGAGTACAATATTCCTCTCTCCAGCATCAGTACACGGAGTTGAGAAAGGACTTACATTTTCTCAAAGGACACTTCCGGGCCCCATCCTTTGCCCAGAGTGGGGCCTGTGTATATTCAGAGAAATATCTTGAAAGCACCTTGGAAGGTCAATGTGTCCTTCCCATACTCACAAGCTGTATGACCTTGGGCAAACCACTTAACCAACCTGAGCTTCTCCCAAAAAGTATGGTTACTAGTCCTGCCTCATAGGTGTGGTACCTTGGGAAGAAGAAAATGACAGAGAGCTTTGCTTCCCACTCCAGTCCTGGTTTGGAGGTCCCTGAGGTGCTGAGCCCTGGGTGTGGGTGCCCACTGGCTCTCCTCTCCTCTTGCTATCAGACAGGCTCCCATTCCATCTCCAGGCCACGCCCAACAAAGGCCTGTTTACGGGCTTGGAAGATAGACAGGCGCCCACCAGGTGTGGCTGAAGCAGGGCCTTGTTCATATTCTGGGGCCCTTCGACAGCTTCTGCTCAGGCCCATTGAACAGGACAGTAGCCCACAGTGAGGGCACCGTCATGTCGGCTATCATCCCCCAGATGTCCACCCAGCACTAGACCCTGGCCGTTTGCTATGCCAGATGTTTCTCTTTCAAGTGTTAAATCCTCACAGCCCATTAAAGAGTTCCCACTATCCCATTTTTCTGATGAGGAAACTGAGACTTCATAGAGGCAAGTGACTGGCTGGAGTTGTCCCTCAGCAAGGAAGGGGTGAGGCTGCGATTTGAGCCCACTCCCTTACCCCCAACACAGTGGAGAAGAGCTCAGGCCCAGAGACTCACGGCGAGCTGACCCACTTACTGGGTGACCTTGGGCACATCATTTCCTCCCTGTGGGCTCAGCCCCATCATCTCCCAAATGAGGGGGTTGGACACGGTGCTCTTGCCCTTCCAGGCCTGAGATTCTATAATTATGGCTATCCCTGCATCAGCAACCCCAGGGCACACCGTGAAAGAGCTCATAGCTGATTTGACCCACTGGGCCCCAATGCTGGTTCCCAAGGCCCCTGGCAACCCCAGGAGGAGTGGGTAACCAGGTAACCTCCTCCTGGTCTTGTTCACTTTCCAGTACCTAGCTGTACCCTCCGTCTAGCCCTACTCAGAGCAGAGCTCTGTGCTAGACCCTAGGAGCTCCATGTGGGGCTCCCAACCCATGGGAAGCTAGAGTCTGGCCACCACCAGCAGCAACAGCTGCAGGCTCCCTGTGCCAGGGTGAGAGGGTACCATGGGGCAAATGGGTAGACTGCCTGGCCCAGGGAGCAAAGGCCCTGGGTTGGGATGGCCCAGGGACAGGGCAGAGCCGACTCACCAGGCCCCTCTGGAGAGCTTGCTGGCACTCCTTTGGGCTCTGCACAAGTAGTGGTGGCAGCCCCGGGAGCCCCAGCCAGACCAGCCTGCCTGGCCACTGCCTGAGCTCCCCTCCCCCGCCGCTCTGCAGGATAAATTCTAGAGCAGTGGCCTTTTCCAGGGGACCTTCACACACCTGCTCTGAGAGGCTGGCCGCGCTGAAACCGCAAACAGACCCTGAGTCAGGCTTGGTGATGGGGGTCGGGCACTGCACCCCTCTGTCCCTCCAGGGAAATCTCTGGCCCTACCCCAGCCTCGGTGTGACTACTGGCAAGCCGGCAAGCCTCCCCCACCTCTCTGGACAGCCAGCCTCTGAGTCTCGCCGCAGGGAGGTACCGGGTAGGGAGCAGTAGTTGTTGATTCCAGCCCCAGCTCCACCACTCACTTGCTGAGGCCCCACAGGAAACCCCCTGCCCTCCTCTGTTCTCTATTTGTTCTCTACGAATAAGCTTTGGGGGAGGGAGAGTAAGGGTTGCTTTTGTGTAAGGTCTCAGACCCAGAGGAGAGGAAAGAAGAAAAATAAGGCCCAGCCTGGTCACGTGTTTTCTTCCTACAGGGTTCGGAAGTCAAAGTCAAGCCCCCAGCTCTGGAGAGTGGCCCTGGGCTGTACTGCTACCAGCCCCCTTTGCAGCACATGTACTGTCCCTCCCAGCCCCCCTTCCACCAGGTGGGTCTGCAGCAGGTGGGCACGCTTCCCCCAGTGTCTCAGGATGTATGGATGTGTTAGGGAATATGTGAGTGCACACCTGGGTGGACGGGTAGGGGCCACTGGGTCACCCAGGGTAGGGGACAGGGACCAATGGGGAGGGAAGCAATCATGTTTCTGTAGGGGTGGATGGGGCTTGTCTGAGACCCTGCCAGGGCCTGAAAGGCCTCAGAAAAGAGACTGGTTTTAAGCTTAGAGCAGGGCCCCAGATGTAAACCAAAAAAGGGAGGAGAGGAGAGTCAGCCAAAGACAGGAACAGGGGCAGAAAGAAAAGGAGTGTGTGGGATGACACCCAAGGCCGAGTGGGGCAGGTAACAAGGGCTTCCACCTGGGTCAGCCACATTGTGCTAGGTGAGCTTCGCTTTAAATTTTCTCTTTAGCTTAGACAGGGTAGGACCAGAAGTGGGGTTAAGGGACCTTCCCACCTGGAAGGTTCCAAGTCCCCATCATCTTAGGCCCCTTCCCCCTTCCTCACCCCATTGCCCAGCCTCAGCTCCTCCCAGATGAACAGGATGCCAAGTAATTGCCCCACACCAGCATGGGATGGAGGTTTTTAAAAAGAGTAAGAAAAGAGCCCCATAGCAGCCAGGCAGCTCCCGGGAGTCACTGGGCAAGACAGAGCAAGTGGCTGCCCAGCACCCAGCTCCATCCACCTGCAGCCTGGCACTGAGACAGGCCCTGCCTGTGGAGCAGGTTCTACTCCCAGCTCTTGGCACTGGCCCTGATCTTGGCCAAGCCACGGAGGCAGGCACAGGGGGGTGGGTGCCAGGGGGTGGGTAGTGTCAGACTCCTTGCTTTGTTGGGGGAGAGAAAGAAGTGGAGGAGGCAGAGGGGACCCATGAGGGGTCATCCGCACTGTCACGGGAGCCCAGCTGGAACGGCCGAGCCATCCCGAGGCTCTGGGTCTGTCCTGGGGCAGGAGCCCCTGAGGTGGCCTGAGCCACAGCAGGGCTGAGGGGCCATAAGACCGTGAATGGCCTCGCCATGCCCAGCCCCGCTTTGATGCTCTCTGCATTCCGCACCCCCTCCTCGAACAAGATGGCCGCACCCAGGGCTTTATGGAGCCTGCAGAGAGGGTGACTCAGGCACTAAGTGTCTCTCAGGTGACCTGGAAAGAGCACTTCAGCCTGGAGCAGATGGGGCAGTCAGAGTCTCCTACTCCCCTCACCCCTATAAAATACCATCCCTGGCACCACAGCCACTCCCTCTGCCGTAAAACCACCTCCTACCCCCACCTGCCCACCACCATGACCAGCCCTTTCAAAGAGCCACTGAAACTCATAAAAGGTGGCAGTGCCCAGCAAACGCCCAAGCTGGACACCCCACTTCCGGCCCAGCATTCCAGGAGACAGATGCAAGGGAAGCCCGGAGGGCCTGCCCGGAAGGGTGTGGGGGCCAAGGCCACCCCTCACATTTCCTGGCCCAGTCAGGCTGCTGCCCCATCACCATGGCAGCCAGGGGCCAGAGAGAAAGGAGCTAGAGGAAGGGAATTTTGAGCCGCAGAGATCCTGAATTCTGGAACACACAGATGTCCACATCCATGGCACCCTCAGATAGCTCTGCCATCAGACATCATGACTATGGGTGGTGGAGCCCATGACTAGGGAGAGAAGTATCTATCTGAATGAGGGGAGTGGACCCCCGCCTTGGGAAGGCTGGTTACCATGGCAACCACTCTGCCCCTTTGACCTCTACAGTACTCACCAGGTGGCAGCGGCTACCCTGTACCCTACTTGGGTTCTGCACACTATCCGTACCAGCGGATCGCACCACAGGCCAACACTGATGGGCACCAGCCTCTCTTCCCCAAACCCATCTATTCCTACAGGTACGTTTCCCAACACCTCTGCAGTAGAAGAGGCATAGGAGGATACCTGGGGAAACTGAGGCATAGAATCCTTGAAGTATAAGGGTAATGGCAAGGGGCAGAAGTTATACCCAGTGGCCTTCCAGAAGACGCGGGAGAGGGGATTCCTGCAGGAGGCAGGGGGAAAGACTAGATCACCTCTTGACTAACCCTGGGGTTGACTCAGCAGGTGCTGGAGCCTGGGGTGAGCCTGCTAAGTTCTAGCCTCCTGGGACCCAGGGCCTAGGACTTGAGAGTGTAGGGGGATGCTTGCCCCCTTTCCCCTCCTTCTCTAGGTACAGAGAGAAGGCCCCAGCTCTACCAGAGACAAGTAAGGGATGAGGACTGCAGATGCAACTCCGTTTACCCACCATCTGCCAGATCTGGGGCACTTTCTCTGGGGTTGGGGTTTTAAATTCCAGGCCAGCAGCACCCAGCCCTCTGGGAGACCTTCCATCTCAACTGTCATTCACCCAATCAGGTCAAGTGACCTTTGACCTCCTGTGTGCCAGGCTGCACACTGGGTCAGGCCATCAGCCAGTGTGAGCTCAGGGGAAGGAAAAGGAACTTCAGCATCAGCAAGGAGCACAGAGATAAGGGATTTGGCAGAGGCAGGACGATGCACAGAGAGGAGCACATGCATCCTTGGAGCCTAGCAGAACTGGGTTCTAGTCCAGCCTCTGGAATTTACTAGCTGTGAAACATTAGGAAAGTTACTTAATCTCTCTGAGCCTCTCTTTATTCATCTGTTAAAAAAATGGTGAGAGTTGGGGGGAACCAGGAATATTCAGGCTTTCGGAAGGATTCAGTGAGAGAATATGCTGGCATATTGTGGGGGCTCAAGAAACCTTAGTGTTCCCCCTTACTATCCAATGTGCATGCATTTGGTTGGGGACTGACAGGGAAGGACTACCATTAGTGAGTGCCTTCTGTGTACCTTCTAGAACTGTGAGGTAGATATTACTTTCTTCACTTCAAAGCTGAGGAAACTGAGGCTCAGAGAGGTTAAGGGACTCACCCAAGGTCACACAGCTAGCAAGTGCTAAGCCAAGATTGCAACTCAGTCTCTCAGATTCCACAAGACCCTCATATAACTGTAATTCCTGACTTTAATGGCCATTTCCTCATCCCTTCTCCTTTCAACCTCAGAGAACCTCTCTCCCATGAATTCAGCAGCAAGTTATTAGTCCTCAAGTACTCCAGCCTGGGCAGGGAGGGTTGGGGGGCAACTCCAGGCCTGGTCAGAAGTTCAGACTCTCAGAGCCTTCTCTGCCTTCAGCATCCTCATCTTCATGGCCCTTAAGAACAGTAAAACGGGGAGCCTTCCAGTCAGCGAGATCTACAATTTTATGACGGAGCACTTCCCTTACTTCAAGGTGAGTCCAAGGTCCACCCCTACCCCACCACCCCCATGTCCTGGGCAAGCCAGGCCTCTCTGGAGCCGGAGGATTCGGTTGGGAGGTAGCTGGATGGTCCCTGAAGCCTATCAGGACTGACATGTCTACATTCTGCCAGCATAAAGTCTGACTGACTGCAGCCTGCTGTGTAACTGAGGGAAGAGTTTGAGTTCTCTGTTCCACACACATGGAACTACGTCCTTCTGAAGCAGAGACGAGGGGAAGCTTGTCAGGGGCAAACCCTCACTTGGCTTTCATTCTAACAAGCATGCACTTGGTGAGCTGCCATCAGATGAGGAGTGGGCAGGATGACCAGCAGAGCCCCTGGCAGCCCCTCTGTAGGAACTAGATCCTACACGCGGAGAGGTCAGTGAGCCAGAGAGGGACATGAGGGCCCTGCACCGCTCCTCTCAGCCCTTTCTCCCAACTCCTAGCCTGGCCCCCAGCCCCTCCCTGAATCTCATCGTCCTGGCTTAATTATTTTTCCTGGGAGCCGTGTAATCCCTGTTTTATGGGGCTGGAGAGTGAAGAGGCCTAACAGATTTTTTTTTTTTCGGTTCTAGTTGTTGTTCTTAGCCAGTTGCATCACTCCCTCACTCTTGCGTTTACATTTGACTTCAGAGAGAAAACATCTGTGAGGATGGGATGGGCCACAGATGGTGAAGCCAGCCATACAGGGTGACCGGGGCAGGGCCCTTCTCTAGGGGACAGTTGGAATCTGGGCTCTGTCACTACCTCTTTATGTGATCTAAAGCCAGGCCCTTTCTTCTCTGGACCTCAGTTTCCCAATCTGTAAAACAGTCAGATGGAACCGGATGGCACACCATTTCCTTCCAACTCTGATAGTTCTCCTGTAATCCACCTAAGGAGTTAGTTCAAAGATCCCCTGCCACCTCTATCTCTCACTCCACATTTAAAGGTCGTTTTTCTGGTCAAGGACACAGTGGACCCTGGGCTGGGCAGCACTCACTCCCAGGGCAGCTGAGGTGGGTGTCCCACAACCCCATGAGTCAGGGATGTGGGACTGGGGAAGTGTCCAGCAATGGACATAATTGCTAGTGCTGACCATCCCTCTTCCAAACAGGAAGTGCTAGGATGCGGGCTGCCCTGGCATCCCAACGTCACAGATTAATTTGACCATAAAAGGGCCCAGTGCCCATTAGCTCTGCCCATTGGGTGGCATAGTAGGGACTGTAGTGGGAGGTGAAGGTGCATCCCCAGCAGGCTGGTCTGGTGGCTCGAGAACCCTCCCTCATGACCCTGGGAGCCTCGGGGGTCATCTCAACCAGCCCCCTGCCCAGGCCAGCTGCCCCTGAGAAAAGCTCCAGCAGCTCCTGCCAGCAGCTTGCAGTGACGCTGGCATCAGGGCCCAGTTTTGCTGGGCGTGATTCAACCTGGCTGCTCCCTGGGGCAAGTGAGCTGGGGAGGAGGGAGTGGCTGCCCCTCATTAAGCAAAAACCCCGAACTGAAAGGGAAAAGGGGCTAGGGGGTAAGGACGAAGAGGCCCCCATGGTCAGAGTGGGTTCTCTGCCCACAGTCAGCTCCTGCTGGGCCCAGGACTGTCACAGAGCCTGGGACAGAGCTGGAGGTGGAGGAACAGGGGATGCCAAGTAGCATCCCCACCACCGCCTCTCACCCAACTGAGTCAGCCTAATGGTTTTTACAACCCTCCCTGGGCACAATTACTGCACTGGTGGCATGACCGGGCCTCCTAATGGGTGCTTATTCTGTTGGCACGAGCACCCCCGGCCTGAGGGCCGGCCTACCCACCAGGGCACGCCCCCCAGGCACACTGAACGCTCACACCCACACATGCATGCAATCACGAATACCCCCACATACACACCCAGAGAGACTTTCTCACACACTCAGCCTCAGGGATACCCGCAACCTCACTCAGAGAAATCTACAGACCTATACGGAGGAGATGAGGTCACACCAGGGAGACACACTTAAGGACGCTCATCCACATAGCCAAAGCCTCTCTTTCTTTCTCTCTCTCACCAAAATCCAGGTATACACACAAACATATGTGCACTCTGTGCACACACCCGGACACTCAGCCACCTCACCCATTGTCCTTTGCTCCTGAGTCTGCCCCGGAGGGATGAGGCAGGCCCAGCCAGAGAGCACTGCATAGCTTCCCCCCGACTCCCTCCCCCAAGCTGGCACCAGAGACCTCAGAGCAGTGAGCGCCCTTTCCACAGAGGGGGCCACGCACAGGCCTGAAGACCTGCTACGGAGTGGTCCTCCCCCAGGTGGGCGACAGCCTGGAGGGCTCTGTAGAGCCCACCAGCCCTGTCCTTTATGAATCACCTCGACAGTCCTCCCAAGGGGCAGCCTAAAGGGATGGGGATAGATTTTAGGTGAAAATACCTTGTGATCAGGTTCCTGCCCATCCATCCCCCACCACTGAAGGGTACTGAGCCTGAGCTGGGTGCTGAGGAGGACTGCAAGCCCCAGAGTGGTTGGCAGTTCTGTGCCTAGAGGACAAAGGGTTTTTCTGGAACCCAGACCCAGAGCCAGCTCTGGCTGCCTGACCACAGCCTGAATTCTTGCCTTGCTCTGCTCTGGCAGACGGCACCTGATGGCTGGAAGAATTCTGTCCGCCACAACCTCTCTCTCAACAAGTGCTTCGAGAAAGTGGAGAACAAATCAGGAAGTTCCTCTCGCAAAGGCTGCCTGTGGGCCCTCAATCCGGCCAAGATCGACAAAATGCAGGAGGAGCTGCAGAAGTGGAAGAGGAAAGACCCCATTGCTGTGCGCAAGAGCATGGCCAAGCCGGGTGAGGGGGATGGGCCACACAGGGAGGGCCCAGGGTACCCAGGAGCAAAAAGGAGAGAAAAGCTGAGCAAGGAGAATTGCTGAGTGAAGAAAGGGCCTGAGCAGGGTCCCAAGGCTGGGGAGGGCTTGTGCAGAGGGGAGGTCTCACAGTATCCCTCTCTCTTGGGCCTTTTCAGAAGAGCTGGACAGCCTCATTGGAGACAAGAGGGAGAAGCTGGGCTCCCCACTTCTGGGACCCCCTGGGCTGGCAGGCTCAGGCCCCATCCGGCCTCTGGCACCTCCAGCTGGGCTCTCCCAGCCGCTGCACTCGATCCACCCAGCTCCAGGCCCCATTCCTGGCAAGAACACCCTGCAGGACCTTCTTGGGGGACACACGCCCTCTTGCTATGGGCAGACATATTCACACCTCTCACAGGGCCTGGCCCCTCCTGGACCTCCCCAGCCGTTGTTCCCGCAGCCAGACGGGCACCTTGAGCTGCGGGCCCAGCCGGGTACCCCCCAGGACTCACCTCTGCCTGCCCACACCCCACCCAGCCACAGTGCCAAGCTGCTGGCTGAGCCTTCCCCAGCCAGGACCATGCATGACTCTCTGCTGCCAGATGGAGACCTGGGCACTGACCTGGATGCCATCAACCCTTCTCTCACCGACTTTGACTTCCAGGGTGAGCTGGAGGTGGGGAAAGGGAGGTGGGACAGGACAGCAGAGGGGCATCGGGCAGTGTGGCCATCCCCCCAAGTCTCCACACTATGGCCTGCTATTGGCTTGGTTTCTGGTCAACTGAAGGCAGAAAAGGCCCAAGCCAGCAGGAGGTGTCAAAGGAATGCCCTTGCCCCCATCTCTCTCCTCTTGGTGGCCCTAAACATGTTCAACTGACCCCATCATCAAGCCTCTCTTAGCTCTGGGTAGCTGAACAGGGCCTGATGTTCCAGTCCATACTTGGTTGTGAGCGACTGATAGTCTGAACATTCCCCAAAGTGGTTGTGTTTTCTCAGAGTTCATCTTTTATTGCAGAAGGAGAGAACTCTTCCCCCAGGAAGAATGTAAGCCTCAGAGCAAGACAGGTCCTGGAGGGACTGGGGATAGGAGTCCAGGGAGAGGGCCTGGTTATCCCATTCCGTCCTGCCTGTTCCATCTCTGCATGCAGCCAGCCCAACATTCCCATTTAACCCCAGGGCACCCCCTGAGCCAAGGCCGCAGTACTGGCTACAGGAGGTTTGGAGGAGGGTGTAACCCAGGCCTCGGACCCCCTGCTGTGTCCTGAGTGGGGTAGGGGTGGGGACATCCACAAGCAGGTAGAGGCAGCCAATCCTCAGAGAGCCCCCAATCCAGTGAGAGCCCTGGTCTTGGGAAGCTATTGTTTGAAACGTGCAGCTAGATCCTCACCCCCACCCAGAAGTGGGGAGCAGGGCTCAGCAGCCTCAGAGGAAGCTATAGACAATGTGAGTTACCATAAACATTTACTGAAGCCCCTACTAATGACAGGGCGGCAGGTGAGTCACTCTGTATGTGCTCTCTCACACGGGCCTGTAGGAGGGATTATTATACTCATTTCACAGACGTGTACTGAGATTAAGTAATTTATTCAAGGTCACTTAGCTAGAAAGAAGGAGAGTTGAGATTGGAACCCAGGCACCTTGAGCTGCAGGGTTTAGTCCAGCCCCCCTTCTTCCAGACCCTGCAGCCCTAATCCCAGGGCAGGAGCGCCAGGTCCCTGCCTGCCATGGTGCAGGTCCCACGACACAAAGGGGAGGATGGGGTGGCAGCACAGTGTGTCCCGCAGAGTCTGTGCTTCCTGGTTCTGCTTCTGTCCTTTGGGCCTTGCAGCAGAGAAGCCCAGGGAGCCAAGTCCAACCACCTCCTGAGGTCCCCCAGGGCACTGTTGGAAGATCCTTTGTCTGGGCTACAGATCCACCTTCCTTGGGAGCCTGGGCAGGAGCCAGGGGAAGATTTCAGGGGCCCCCCTCCCCAGGCTAACCCTGGAGCACACAGAATCTGCATCAACACCTCCAAGGGTCAAATCCTTGACCCTCCCAACTCCCCCCAAAAGAGAGCCTCAGAGATCACTGGGGTTAGGGCCTTCAGACTGCCCTACATGGGAGGAGGAATCAGAGAGGTCTGGCAACTGCCTGGGGTCACATAGCTAGTGCCAAGGGCCTGTTCCCCAGTCAACGTTATCCTAATCCTGGTCTCTTTAGCCTGTGAAAGCCAAGGGGCTGGGGGCAGGCAGGGCTCCTCGGTGGCTCCCAGTGACACCTGTTCTCTCCCTCAACTAGGAAACCTCTGGGAACAGCTGAAGGATGACAGCTTGGCCCTCGACCCCTTGGTACTGGTGACCTCATCCCCGACATCATCTTCGATGCCCCCACCCCCACCCCACTGCTTCCCCCCTGGGCCCTGTCTGGCAGAGACAGGCAGTGGAGCAGGTGACTTGGCACCACCAGGCAATGGGGGTTCCGGGGCACTGGGTGACCTGCACCTCACCACCCTCTACTCAGCCTTCATGGAGCTGGAGCCCTCGCCTCCCACGGCCTCTGCTGGTCCCTCAGTGTACCTCAGCCCCAGCTCCAAGCCCATGGCCCTAGCATGAGCCATGTGCCTCAGCCACTCCAGCCTTTGCCTGGCCTGGAAGTCCCAGCTGGCCGCCCATGTCGGGCTCACCTTAAAGGTCAAGGAAGGAAAACACTCCCTGTCCCCTATGACACTAAGCCGACTTGTTGGCTGACAGCTGGGGGTCAAGAAGACATCATCCAGGGTGCTGCCCCTCATGCATTTCTGCCGCCTGGCGGGCCACCTCCTCCTCAGGTCCCCTGAAGAGCAAGTATCTGGGCAAGAAGAAAATGCACTCTCCTGAGCTCACACTCATCCACACTTAAGCTGTCATGCACATGTGCACACACATGTGCATGTGCATGCACACACACACACACACATGCAGTTATTCACACCTGCACCCACCCACATTCCTTATACGCAGAGGAATCAGGACTATATCACTGACAGCCTGACTTCATTCTGGGGCAGCTGAAAGCTGAGGGTTTTGGTTACCAAATGCTCAGGACCCTGGAACCTTTTTCTGACGTCCATGTTCTCTGCAGGCCTGGCCCCCTCCAGGCATGTTCTCTCCCAGAAGCCCCTGTATTTATTCTCCCATCTTTATCCGAGCAACCCACCCAGGAGGAGGGGATATGGAGCCTCTCCCTAAGTTGTCTGTGGGTCCCCAGGCTGCTACTTAGTAGCACCCATTCTGCCAGGCTCATGCTCATGCTCATCCTCAGGACATGCTCTGCCTGGCCTCCCCAGGGGTGACACACAGGAGGGGCAACAACCACCCCAGGACCAAACTGAGCCTAATTCCAACACAAAGTGTTTGGAAAAGCCCTTTCCCTTGGAAACTTGAAAGCGTCCTCTCTCCCAGCCTTGGGTGCAGGAAGGGCCCCTCCAGGTCGCTGTAATCTCACTCCTCTATCAGAAGTTCATGTAGTTTAGGTTCCAGCTTATTAATAACTTTCAACTGTCCCAGGCAGCCTGGGCATTCAGGGAAGGGAAGCCCGGCACAGGCTGGAGGAGCATCCATGCCCCACTCTGTTCTACTGGCCAACCCAGGATGCCTCTGGAGCTCGGGGATGTGGCCCAGCTGTCCACCGTGCCCTACCCAAGAGCCCAAGCTGCACTCTGAGGTGGCAGCCTTAGCCTACTCTGGGCCTGGGGCTTCAAGAACCTCTGGAAGTTGGCTCCAGGCTCAGGGGCAAGCCAATCCCTCGATGGCCTGCCATCGTCCCCTGTCCTGGAACAATAAAGCAAGCGCCTTGTGGTCTGTGCTCCCAAGCCTTCATTTCCAGGCTACCCCCCTGGGCAGAACGGTCATACCACACTGACTGTGGGTGCCCTGGGCCCATGATGCTTACTCGTACCCAGGATTATGAAGTTTCCAAAACCACTGAGGTAGGCATTTAGGAGGGCTTCCTGACCTGCCTGGGGAGAATGAGGGGGCAGGTGGGCAGGGCAGGTGTGGGGGAGGTCTTCCCAGGAGAACTTTCAAACGGCTGCCAGGAGTGGCTGCCCTAGCCCCACACCCCTTCCTGAGATTTATCCCTCCCTCCTCAAATCTCCCATCTCCTCACACATGAAGGGGGCAGTCCCTGTCCAGGCTGTGCCTTCCTGCCCCCATCTTTACCTGGCTGGGACTCTGGGTTCCACAGGTGACATGAATGGAGCAGAGCCTGGTGCTGTGTGGACTGCTGGCCCTGGAGGATGGTCTCTTGAGGGTCAGGGCCACTCGGTGCCACTTTAGGCTCACCTTCCAGGTACCACCTCCAAGTGGGCTGCCGTCACCAAAGCACAGCTTAAGGTGCAGCCCCTATTCTGCCTGAACAGGGATGGGGCAGGCGTGAGAGCAGAAAGCACACACATGAACCTCAGGTCTCAGAGCAGCAGCCCCAGATGGGGCCTCTACTTAGAAAGTTCTTCCAGGGGCCAGGCCCGGGGCCAGCCAAAACCTACCTGCCCCAGGGGCAGCTCTGCGGAACACCCCATAATAGAGCCCCCCGCCCCCACGTCAGCACCTTCTCTTTGGAAGCTCTAAGGCCGGGTCGGGGCTAGAGGGATAGGTTGCGGCAGGGAGATGGGGAGAGGCGGGGCCAATGGTGTGTCCAGGAGGAAGACCACCCAGGGGCAGCTCTGCGGAACACCCCATAATAGAGCCCCCCGCCCCCACGTCAGCACCTTCTCTTTGGAAGCTCTAAGGCCGGGTCGGGGCTAGAGGGATAGGTTGCGGCAGGGAGATGGGGAGAGGCGGGGCCAATGGTGTGTCCAGGAGGAAGACCTGCCCCCCCAGCCCAGCCCCCGCTGTGCGGGAAGGAGGTGAAGGCTCTTCGTGAAGGCTCCAGCTGATGGGCGTCGCAGCTCTGGCCTGTGTCTGCGTCCGACCTGTGTCTTGATGCCTAAGCCCCCGAGGGCAGGTCGAGTGTTTTGTGGGAGAACTTCACTGTGACCCACTTCCGCGCCTCACACCCTCAGGCCCTGGGGCTCAGACAAACCTCCTCTAAGCTGCCAGCCTACGCACCTCCTCCGAGGGCCCCCAGCACACCCCTGTCCCATGGGCCCGTCCGGCACATGCGCAGGTGAGCTGGCACCCACCCAAGTAAGACTGGTGGCAAGAAGAGAGGGCCCTGGGTCTTGTGTTTGTTAGTTTATACCCAGACTGACCTTTAGGCTTGAATAATGAGCAGCAGCCCCACATCGCACTGAGCCCCACACTCCCGCTCATATGCTGCCCCCTACTGGCCACTGCTCAACCACCGTTTTCGGCTGAGCAACAGCTGAATGGATGCAGGATCTGGAGTCCCATTTGGGGGACAATTAACCCCTTTGTTCAGGGGCTCGAAACCTGAGGGTTCTAAAATTGGATAAAGAAATAACATCACCATTTTCACTCACCTCTGCCTCAAGTTTAGCATTTCCCCCAATTAGTGTCAGCCATAAATCACAACATCTTTAGCAGAATCTGTGACTGTATCTTTAGGTAGAGAAATCACAGATTAGAAATCACAAATGTTTTCATATCACAAGTACTGTAGAATATATATATACTTTAATACATAAAATATGTAGGATTACAATACATTTTATGTACTTAAAATCCTTTCTCGTCCATAGGCTTCAGCAGACAATAGCAGTGGGATCCAGGCCACACGAATAAATTGCCTAAGTTGCAGATAGGGGGAAGTAGACGATGGCTCTTATGGGAGGTCCAGGCTAAGAAGGAAGGCCCTGGGGGCTTGAGACAGCAGCTCTTTACCAGTTAGTAGGGAAGGCTCAGTATTTTACAGCTGGCTTGGCAGCCCTTGTGCACCCTGCAGGCCAGGCTGGGTACAGGTATGAGCGGTGGATCACCCTGTCATATTTGGGCTTTCCTGCTCAACCCAGTAGTAGGTTCCTCATGACACCCCTGGAAAGTCAAAGCAAAATTATCTGACTCTCTTCAGAGACAGAATCTGAGGCGAAGATCCAGCAAAACCCAGATGGACTGTCAAGCTCAACGGCTCATCATCACTGGGGCCAGGATGAGCTCCACCCCCACACTGCCTGCTTCCTCTTTACTACTGCCCAGGGACACTCTAGGTTCCTAGAGAAGCACCAGGAACCAAATGCAGAAAGTCGCACCATTAGCCACAGGACCAGTGCCAGAGGCCATGAAGACTTAATAGGCGGCAGGGGCCAAGGCTTTTCCCAGCCAGGCTTCCTCCAGACCCAAGGGACAGTGGCTTCTCAGGGTGAGTGCCAACCTGCTGCCTGCTCCAAGGATGGGGACCTCAGAACAGGGACCTCCCTCCCTGTCTGAAGGTGGAAGTGCAGCAGGCCCAATCCAGAAGTCAACCCCATTTGACTTAGCAGGTGCAGTGAGGACTGTTATTAGGGTGGAAGGACCCTCTTCCTGGTACTTGTATAGGCCTAAAAGTCCCTCTTGCTCACTTCTAGCTTCTCTGTAGATAAACAACACCAACACCCTTATTTGGGTGCCTGTATACCCTCATCTGCAAACCAGACCTACCCTCCACCCCATGCCCCTTCCTCCCCTTTGGGATGCCTGCCAGTTCCTGACCACTTGCTTCTTGGTGAGATTCTTTCTTCCCGTAGCTTCTAGCAGTCTACTCCAAAACAGGCTCCTGCTGCCACCCGTCTGGCTCCTCCTCCTGCCTCCACCACTGGTTCCTCTCCTCTTCATGGCTCTCAGCCACCCACTGGCCTTCCCTGGGATAACACACTCTCATTCAGTGACCCTTACCTGGGGTATGTGGATTATTAGCATTAAGTGTCCTATTAACTGGAGGGCATGTGGCATTCCTGCCCCTGCTTACTAAATGCCAGTAGTGCTGGTGGGGGACCCTGTAATCTCAGATGCCATCACAGCTTCAGCAGTCACCTTGGGGCCAGGGACCTCCAAGGGTCACCCTCTCCAGCCTCCTGGTCTCAGTGCCCATTATTTCCTGTCTCCTGGCCACCTCCCCCAGGACATCCACACCACAGCAGGTCCCAACCTGAACTCCCCATTCCCTCCATCCCTGAGTTGGATCCAAATTGGGTTCCCAAGCCCAGTGACTGTACACAGATCCATCCCAACACCCAGGACACAAACCAGGGCCTCAGCCTCCATTCCGCTTGTCTCCAACCCCCTCATCCAATCACCACCAGTACTGGAGATATTGCCTCTTAAAAATCTCAGCTTCATCTATTTCTCCCCATCTCCACGGATATCGACCCACTGGTTCATCTAATTTATCTTTCACCCAAATTCTTGCAACAGCCTCTCAGCACCCCTCTTACCTCTGAAGCTTGGTAGTACATAGACTCTGAAGCCAGACTGCTGGGATTAAAATCCTGACACTGCCACTTAGCAGCTGTGCAAAGCTGATGGGGATGAGTTATCGTCTTTGGGACTGCTTTTTCTACAGAAAGGCCATAGTCATGGTGCCTTCCTCAGAAATGACTGTGAGCATTCTAAGTTAATGCACATACATCTCCCAGCCCCAGGCCCAGCACACAATATGCGTCGGCTAGTATTAGTTTCACTCTTCCCAACCCACCCTTCACTCAGCAGCCAGAGGTAATCCGACCAGGTCATTTGGGCTCACTTGCGTCCCCTCTCAGAAAACACAGCAGCGTGAGAACTACTGGGCTCCCCAGACCTGCCTTCCTTTCATAGCTTGTAAATATTCACTCTTTCTTGAACACACCTGATAAATCTCGCCTCCAAACCTTGGCTTCATGCTGTTTCCTATACTTGAACACTCGCCCCCCTTTCTTCCTGTCAGAATCGCCCTGAGTTTTCAAGTACCTGCTCTCCTGCTGCCTCCTCTGACACTCCTCCCCAGGAGCCTTCAAGCAGGGTGACTCTTGCTCCCCAACGGCCAACCCATCTTGTCCTAGGACAGGTTTTTATTCCGTGTCTCACTCATTTTACAATTCCCAGCGTGCAGCCCAGGCGATGCCCCCAGCAAGAGCTCCACTGAGTCCAGCTGAGACCCACACTTTTAGCACCCTTAGGGGTAGTTACTGCCTCAGCCCTGAGACAGAGGTGGGCACCAGGCATCTCCAAATTAGCACCTGCAACAGCAGGGTATGAGCTCTCCACCCAATTCAGTTCCTGAATTTCCTCCATTAAAGAAATTATGACCTCTTTTGCGCCTGGGTTAGGGCTGAGGGTTATAAGCAGTGTTATATGCAGGGCAGCCAGGCCAGGGTGTCCCCCAAGGCAGCTGAGGGCAGAGACGACTCAAGGCCTTAGCCAGAGCCTCGTCTACCTTCTCCCTGTGATAAGGGCACTAGGCCCTAGAGAACAAGACCACCTGTCCCACACCTTCCCTCCCAGCCTAGAGTTGAGGGCCTTTGCCCAGCCAGCCTCTGCTCCGCCAGAGTCAGCTACGACTTTGGTCCAAAGCTTCCCTTCTCAGGGCCTGAGTCTCCTTCTTTATCAAGGGAAAAACCCTTTCCAGCCTTAACGTGTACTAAATGCTGACTCTAGAAGCTGAAAGTGGTGGCAGGGAACAGGACTGGGGGACAGGAGGTCTTTCCTGGGTGCCACATTATGCCTGTCCCACTCCCACACATGGTGGCCCATAGCCAAAGATCAGAAAAAGAGAAAAGAGTTTATTGAAAACTATATACAGTGGGTCCAGTCCCCATCACAAGCTGCAGGCTCGGCCAGGCCCTCCCACACCTCAGGCAGTGTCTCACCCCAGTGGTGGAAGCTGGACTGGGGACAGGGCCCAGACTCCCTTGGGAAGTCTGGCAGCCAGACCCCATCAATGACCTCAGTCTGTGGATTTACAACACTAAATGGCCTGTCGGTGGTGGCCAGGGAATGGGTCCCTGCCCTGACCTAGTCAGCCTGGATAGGGCAACTATTCTGAACCTTGGGCCTAGAAGGCCCAGCTAGGCTGTGTGGAAGTCCTGGCTACTCCTCTCACAGGCCTTCCTGGATGCAGAGGCAAACAGCCCCCCTATCACCCCACATCATATGCCAGGTCCCAGAGGCTTCACGGACGTGGACTGGGGACATCAGGCACCCTCCCTCCCAACACTGACTCAGGGTCCAGGGCTTCTGGAACACTCCCAGGCAGAAGACATGGGAGTGAGAGGTGGCTGCTGGGGAGGTCACAAGTGAGGGCCCAGGACCCTCCTGTTTACGGGCTGGTTTGGGAGTCAGGGTGTCCCACTGTAGGAATAGTCTGCTTTGTTGTGCATCACCAGCCGGTCATCCACGAAGTAGAAACTGTCAGACTGTGTTTCATACGGGTGACGGACCATCTCATTGACTGCAAGAAAGGACCAGCCAGTTGGGGCAAAGGTCAGAAGCCCGAGCCACGCCACTACAGGGGCGTCAGGACTGTGGGACAGGGACAAGTTGAACAACCCCAAAGAGTTCCCCCAGCCTCTCCGGGCCCCAGGCTTCCTAGTGTGACATGCAAACAGTGGCCAGACACAAGAGACCCAGGGTGGGAAGAAGGGGGGTCAGACACCCCCCTTGGGCTAAGTCCCTCTGCCCATTCCCAGGAGGCCCTGCCCCACGCACTCAGCTCCTCGGAGAGCGGGGGGAAGTCATAGATGTGTTCACAGGTGTTCTTGCTGCTGGGGATGCAGAAGCCAAAGTGGAAGTCAAAACTTTTGAGCAGCTGGTTGCGGAAGTAGTGCCTCTCTATCATGCGGAAGTTGTTAACAGGTTTGTCTCCCACTGTGAACTCCACCCTGAGCGAGAGAAGGGGACAGGGCTGACTTGGCTTTGAAATCAGGACAGACAGCCCCTAAGGCAGGTTCAATGAGAACTCAGAGGGGCTTGCTCCCACCCTCACCCTCACCCTCAGCCCCAGCCCGTGCCCCCACCACCACCCAGTGACTCACGTGGCTCCCACCTGCCTCAGGCGGAGGAAAGCAGGTGTGAACTGGTAGCGGACAAAGCGCCCAGCACTGGGGTCCAGGTCCCGCTGGTTGATGGGCAACCGCTCTGTAATGTACCCCATCTGGGGCTCAGTGGGCTTCAGGCTGGAGTCCATGCCCACCCAGGAGTCCCCACTATCTGAATTTCTTAAAACTCCCTCAGGAGATTCTGATGTACATTGAGGGTTCAGACCTTTGGCCAAATGGTTCCACCTGGGGGTTCTAGGTCAGCAGGTCACCAATTTCAACTGAGGTTCCTGGGGCCTCTGGGACTGCAGTTCCCAGGCAGGCCCACAGGGGGAAGCTGGCAGGGACTGTAGCGGCAGGACTCTCCCCACAAGATGTCCAACTCCAGGAACAGATGGGAAGGAAAGGACGACCCCTGCCCTGGCAACTCCTGAAAATGCTGGGGTCCAAGCCCCAGCTATGCTCTTACTCCTCTACGGCCTGAGGAGTTCCTGGGCAGCCCACCTCCCTCTGTCACTGGCCCACCCAGCCTGCTCACCTGAGGCTGGGGGCTTCTTGATTTCAAAGAGGACAGTGCCTGAATCCATGTCCCGGATCTTGAACCTGACAAAGTCGATCTTGTAGATATTCTCCTCGGGGGAGCACAGGTAGTCTAGGGGAGACAGGCAGCTAAGCAAGGAAGGCACTGTCCCAGAAGACCCTGCTGCCTGCTCAGCTTTGTGGGACTTCAGCCTAGCACCACTTTCTCTTAGCCCTAAGGTCACAGCCTTCCAGAAAGAGAGAATTGAGCTTCTGCCCTGGGGGAGCCCCGACAGTGTGGGGGAGACAGCTTTGTCACTGGGATCTAACAGGTGACAAAACAGCTCCTTCCTAGTGATCTCTGGAGTCAGGGCGGGGCAGGGTGGGGAAGGGTGAAAAGCCAACTCCTGGGAATTCTCCTCTCCCACCCTGAAGTTGAGGATCCTTACTCCAGCCTCTGCTTTGCTGTGGCTGGCTCGGTGACTTTGAGCCAAATGGGTCTCCAATCTAACGCCGAGCCCCCAGCATGAGAGAGGAGATGCAGCTCTGCCCTTGGGGGTCTCACCCGAAAGAGGGTGTCATAGCTCCACCTCAGCAGAGACACAGTCCTTCCCTGAGGACACCCCGCTCCCACCACACAGTTGCCCCAGCAACATCTAGGTGTGTCAGGCAAGGACGTCCCCTAACCTGGAGAGTGCTGGGTGTAAACAACCCCTTCCCTGTTCCTCTTACTCCCCACCCCCTTCACTCTCCAGAAGCAGCTTATACAAGCCCAGGTCCCTTAAGCAGCTTAGCCAAAGCTCCACTGACCCAAGGCCACAGCCTGGAATAGTGGGGGAAGGAGGCCACCTCTGCTGCCACCCACTACTGATCTCCAAATGTGAGTCTCAGCAAACAGAGAGAACCCCCAAAGGTCATCCACCCAGCCTTGGCTCCTAGCCACACCCACAGAGAAGCCGGGTGAGGCAAGGATGAGGGCGTGGCCAGTGCAGCAGGGGTGCGCATGGGGAGTCCTTGGGCCCAGAAAAGGAACCAGAAACAGTGGTGAGTCCCGCCTGAGGAAGCTCAGGAATACCAGGGCTTGATCCAACCCTCACTGCTCTTCCAGCAGCAACTGCAAGTGCTCAGGAAGGCCCTGGCAGCAAACTGGGGTGCAGTGGGGGCTCTGGAGCTATCAGCCTGAGCAGCATCCTCCCTACAGAGGCCCCAGAATGACCCTCCAAGACGTGGTCTACCTCTGGGGCAGGAAGAGGAAGTGAATGTCAAGTCATTCTCTCTTCCCCAGGCCTGGGGCAGCCCCCTCCAGGAAGCCCTCCAGGTAGCCACCTGGAACCTTGGAGTCCAGCAGGGACTACACAGGGCTTGAGGAGGGGCCTAGCCCTGGCCTGTCCACCACAGCCCACAGTGGAGAGAGGGCAGGAAGAGGAATGGAAAGGGGCAGCCCCTACCTCACCCCATATACACCTTATTTTCACTAGAAAGTAAGTACTAATCCAAAGGTATAGATAGAAGGTGCAGTACATAGAGAAGGAGGTGACAGAACTGGGAGCAGGATGCTAAGTGCCCAGCTCTGGCTCCCTTAATGCCCTTCCTTCTTCCCCCATTCTCCATTCTTCGGAGCGTCTCCCCTCATTGGGGAACTTCTTGCAGCCTGACCTCAGTCTTTCCTACTACAAACTCAACCTATCAATCCCTTTGTCCTTAGAGGAAGTGGGCAGAGGGGGGAATGCCCATGGCTCAGAACACTAGGGAAGGATGGGGCCTGGGACCAGGGTCAGGCCAGATACGGGTTAGAACACAACCGCTCCCTCCCCCGCAGTCGCAAATAGCTTCCTAAGCCTGCTTCAGGGACCGGTAATCCAGGAGGAGCAACTTCAGACCTCCGTGATTAGGACATAAGAGACCGGGGGTGCCAGGATGGACAGCCCAAGAACCCTGTTCCTAACTTCTACAGAGGAAAAGGCTCCCATGAAGTCCCTTTCCCTGCTGATCCCCCGCAGATGCCCCATCTCTAAGGGCTATGAATTTTCTCCAAATTAGGAGACATGGTGGGTAGAACATGAACTAGAAACCCCAGTAAATGCAAAATAACCTCTAGTTACCCAGGACCCAGAGAGGTCAGCCTGGCCTCCAGACATCCTAATGAGAAAGTTCTCTACCCCAGAACTAACCTGAATCCTAAATGCAATTACAGCCCAACTGGCACCAACATCAGTCTGATCCAGGCCCCCTCCCTCTACCAGTGCCTGCTTGTGCCAGGCTGCTCAGAACTCTGTCCAGAACGGCGGCTGCCTGGCTTGAGAGGAGGGAGAAGTGGATCACCAGGGACCCAGATGCACAGGCCTAGACCTGCCATCATGGTTCCCTCCACGGCTCTGTCCGGCAGCCTTGGCTCTGCAGCTTCTCCAGGACTTGAGCCCACTCCAGCACCTGCCCCCACCCCAATGGAGGGGTCCCAAAAGTTGTTCTCACAAAAGCATCCAGGGCAGTATTACTGATGAATGAGGCCAAGGTGAATGGCCACTGCCTCAAAGAACTGCCTTCTGTGAAGCTCAGCCATCACCTCGGCCATGAGGCTTCCTAGCCCTTGTTCCCTTCCTATGGTGATCCCCTATCCTGCCCTGAATGACCAGTTGTCTGCCTCCAGGCAACAGTCATAAGCAGTCCTGTGGGGCCCTCAGTACTATTGATAAAAGAGCCCTATTTACAGAGCATGCACAGCATGCCAGGCACTGTGCAAAATCAGAGAACTTATTTTCACCACAGTTCTATAAGGTAGGTGTCATTATCCCCATTATTACAGATGAACATGCTCAGAAGAGTTACTTTCCCAAGGTCATACAGCCAATTAAATGGCAAAGCTGGGACTTCAACCCAGAAGTCCAGCCCAGAAACTCAAACACAGAGGATGGGTTCCAGCCTAGACTAAGGGGAGGGGAGGGGCATTAACTCACTCCCTTGGGAGTGCCCAGAGTCAACCCACTGAAGCTTCCTACTCAGGTTTTTTCTTGGGGAGGAGGATGCCCCCAGACTTCCTGGGGAACCCAGGGTGAGGGCATTAATGGTCAGGAAGACCTGAAGGTCTCAATGCCACCTAAGTAACTCGGCTTCCACCTAGCCTCCGGGTGGGGACTGAGGGTAGACTGCACTCAGGCCCTCTCAAGATTGCAGAGAAAGGCTTCAAAGGGCTCTGAAGACTCCATGGGAAGGGGAGGTCACAGTTGCAGCTGCTACCCTACTTCCACCATGGGAAAGGGGAATATACTCCTCAAAAAGGAAGGAGGGGGTGGTGGTGGAAATAATTTCTAAAGGGAGAGGAGGGGGGCACAGGGATATTAAGGAAAGTGGGGACATGGCGATCTCAGGCTTGGAGGCTGAAGGGTAGGGGACACAAGCGGGGCGGGCGGGGGGTACGCCGGTCGGGGAGGGGAGACCGGGAAAAGGGGCGGGGGCCTACACTCCGCGCCCCTCGAGGGACCCCTCCCGTGCGCTTTCCCTCCAGCCCGCAGGCGGCGCTCCCTCGTCGGTGCTCACCGCCTGTGATCCGCTGCAGCCCCAGTACGTCGTCGGGCCCTATGGGCTGCTTCCTCTGCAGCGGCCCTATCCTGGGCCCTGGGCCTGCCTCCGGCTCCGACTCGGACCCAGACTCGGATTCCGCCTGCAGCTGCGGTTCCGGCCTGGGCTCCACGCTCGGGCCCAAGGCCCCGGGAGCCGGCTCCGCCCCCGTTCCGGCCCCGTCGCCGCCCTTCTTCACCTTCATGGCCTCGCTGGGCCGCAGCTCGCCTGCTGCCGCCGCGGGTGCTTGCGCCGGCTGGAGCCGAGAGAAGAGGGCGAGTCCGCAGCCCCGCCCCTCGCCGGGGCCCCAGGTACCGTCCCGCCCCCGGGGCGGGCCCGGGACTGGCCCCGCCCACAAGTGCGGGCGCCGCGGACCCGCACTGTTTCCCCAGGATTGGGAAGGGGCAGGCAGTGGGCTTCATTCATTTTTTTTATAGCAGCTTTCAGGAGTTGGCAACCTCCTCCTTACTCGCTGTGCCCCGGGCACAGCCCGTCAGTCGAGTTCCTGCCTCGGGGTCTTGCCTGGGATGCTCTACTCCCACAGGGCCTGTTGTCTTGGCTCAGCTCAAAGGCCCTCCCCTCACACGCAATCTAAAGTACATACCCTTAGTCACTATCTGATCAGCCTGTTTTTTCATTCTAATGTATTATCTGAAATAAGTCTTTTTCGCTCACTGCCTCAACCCCCTGAAAGTCCAGTTCCATGTAAGCAGAGTTCCTGTCTTTGTTCTCTATAATACCCGGGCACCTAGCACACGGTCCACTGTAGCCTGTGCTCAATGTTGTTGTTTTTTAATTTATTAAGGAGTCAGGATCTGAGGGCTTACACTGGCACTAGCTATTCTCTCCCAGATCTCCTGCTAATTAGCAGTAGATGTTAACAGCCTTGTTGGACAACCCAGGACATGCCCAGGGACAAGAGCATAGACCTCTGGCCACCACAGGACCCTCCAGGACAGGGAGGTAGGAAGGGCACTCGACCAGGTGGAAGCAAGTGGACCTGGGAGCCCAGGAGGACAGATACTAAGAAACCATTACTTACACATGAATGAAGAATGAAAGATATGCTCATATTTCATGTCATTCCACTTCACATTCAACCAATGTTTATTGATAGCTAAAATATGCCACTTAAATATTCTTACAACATGTAATCTGTGATCACAACCACCCTGTACAGAGGTATCATTAGTGCTATTTTAACAAATGAAAAACTGAGGCTCGGAGAGACTAAGTGGCTTATCTGAAGTTCTCCAGATGACAGAAAAAATAAAAATTAAAAATCAAAATAAATAAAGAAAAAGTTTTCCAGATGATAAATGCAGAAGGGTTTGAATTCAGGCATGTTTAATGCCACGTCCACAACTTTCCCCACTGTACCACACTGCCTCTATGAAAGGGTAAAGGAACCTCTTCATGTCACACACAGCAGTGGGCTGTAACCAACAGGCGTAGTCAGCCAGCAGGGAGGGGAGGAAGGGAGCAGGCCCCAGAGGTGACCCATGCCTGGCCCTCTTCATGACAGCAGGGTTAGGGTGCTCCCCAAGGGGTTAGAGGAAGCATGGAGGGGTGGGGGCTAGAATCCAACCTGGGGTTTTCCCCCAACGCTCCCTCTCAGTGCAACAGGACTGTGAGGACAGGGCAGAAGCACAGTAAGCTGCCCCTGCCAGCAAAGGAGACAGGAAAAGACCTTCAAGTTCAAGCAGTTCAAGCTGGATAAGGGAGACCTAGATGTGTCTTTGGGGGCAGGGGGCTGAGGGGAAGCATGAAGGGTGGGGTGTCCCTAGCCAGAGAGTGGGAGGGAAGAAAAGATGAGCCCATCTTGGAGCATTACACTTTGGTTGCTGGAGAGACAACACAGGCTGGAGATGAACAAGTCAGCAGTCGTATGCCCCATTTACGCGCCTCTTAAGCCAACACCTCACCCCCTGACAGAAAGGAAGTCTTCCCACTGAGATGCTCTCCTGCTCAGTCTATCTTCTCAGGCTTTTTCCAGGACTTGCGGGTCTCCAGGAAGATCTTGATCAAGGACAGGAAGATGGGCACAGCCATAGGCAGGAAGAGTGGGATGTAGATGGCAAACTTCTGGTCATCAGGGAAATAGAGGAGGTGGAGGAGTGAGGGATCAAAAAAGGCACGCTCCGAGGATGTCACAGCTTCCTGGCTGGCAATGAAGGCAGAGGCCAGGTGCCCAGAGGCCAGCTCCTCTGCTGCCCTCTGGACTGCAGCTACAGCCCTGTACACCTAGGAAGGGGACAGGGGATTGCAGGTAAGTCCTAGGCATTGCTGAGGATGTGGGGTGATGGGGCTTATTCCATCTACCAGACAAGTTGCCAGGGATTCATACCCCATGACCCCTTAAAACCCCACCCTCCCATCTGGACTCCTGCTGGGGAGCTGGCACTGGCCTCCAGAGGAAGCCCAGGGCATTCAAAGATGGCACATCCACACATACCCTGGATCTCAACTGGCTCTCTCGTTTCCCCACACCCTGGTCCTCACTGGGCAATCCAATCCTAGGCCACAGACTCCATCCCCTGCCTGCTTACCTCGGACGCCACATCATCCTTGATGACAATGTTGTTGATCTTGCCCAGAAGCTGGGCCAGGGAAGTGAGAGTGGTGGTGGCTGTAGCCAGGTTCTCCACCGACCGAGCCCAGAGCAGCCGGTCTAGCTCCCACATTGTTAGCCCCTCACTTTGAGGTCCTGAAAACAGGCATTTGGGAGGCACCTGGGGCTGAGCAATCCCGAAGAGCAGCCTGTAGGAAAATGAAGGTCAAAGGGGCTGAGGCTACAAGGTAGAAGATGGCTATGATTCCTAGAATAACTACTAGGATTTTTCATCTTAGCCAGAACCACAGGGGTTGTAGTGAAGTGGCTCAGATCTTGGGGAGTGAGCAGCAACCCAGAGTCCCAAACCCCACTTTAAATAGTACTTTCACCTTTACTTGTTCATACATCAGACTTCCAAGATCATGTTTGAGAAAAGGTTCCAAGACTAAAATATTTCTGGTAACACCAACTTGGTTGTGTCAACCTCTCTACCCTCTCTCTGGAAAAATGGGGCCACAGAACCTTCAGTTTAGAGATGATCAAGGACCACCTCCACCAAGACATGTGCACTGTGCCTCTCTAATCCTGTACCCGTGGCAGACATTCACAATCATCAATCAGAATCCTCTTTCCTGATGAGCCTTAGAATCCTCAACACAGGACACCAGGCATCCACTATAAAGATCAGTAGGCATCAGAATCAACAGCTATTTTCTTAAGCACAAGCTAATCACACCCTATGGACCCAACATTCACAATTCTATTGTTCTTAAAACTAGTCAGCAACTAGGCCTCCTTAGGAGAAGGATGAAGTAATCCTTGGAAAAATGGCTTCCCTGGGACTCTAGGCACAGCCAAGGTACCCCTGCTGGGTGAGACTTCATTCCAGTCAGCCCAGGAGACTGGTCAGACTCAGAGCCGTGCCCCACAGTGATGAACTGAGGACCTCACCGCAGCTGAGCCAGGAACACCTCCATCACACGCACCATGTCCACCTCAACTTGCACGGGCAGCTCTGAGGCATTGTAGGCTTTGGGGTCCACATTGTATACCTGCCGGGGAAAATAAGCTTGCCTCAACATCACACCAGGACTGTGCACAGCTCTGCTCAATACTGGGGACTATGAGAGAAAAGGAAGACATATTCTGTGCTCTTTAGAAATTACAAACCTGATGATATAGCTAGTATTTTTTGAATACTTGCAATTAGGAGCTTTATATAAATTACCTCCGTTACCCCCTCAAAAGTCCTGTGAAAGAGGTTTTTTACTGCATTTTAGGGTTCCTACCCAAGAGAAAGTCCTAGTCTAATTGGGGAAACAAAGTTCCCAACCTTATAAGACTCCCACAAAAAGGGTCAAGATCTGAGATGCACACAGAGTCCTCGGTAAGCCCAAACTGCTGCATGCGAAAGGGTCACATTATAGAAAACACTGATGGAAATAAGAAGCTGAAGGGCTGGCAGAGGAGGAGTATGAGCTCACAGCACCCTCCTTTCCCTGGTGCCTGCTCTTCCCACAGGCTGGGCCATGAAGGACACCAGAGGAACAACAGAAGGAACAGTTTCAGGAAACATCCATCTCCCTGAAGCTGGGGCTCTGGGGCTCTGGGTCTGCACAGTGAACATTACCATAATACCACCCCAGCGGGGACTGTGGAAGGCGTTGGTGGCCACCGGAGCGCCGTCCTTGTCTTGAATGTACAGCGGTGAGTGAGCAAGCTCAGGTACATAGAGTAGAAAGTTGAGCACAGGGTAAAGGGACGCAGCACTGGATCCTGTGGCACAAAGAGAAGGGAGTCAGAACACCAAACTGTGCTAGACCTGGATCTTAGTTCCAGACCAGCCTCTAACTTGTTGGTCACTCACTCTGGGCCTCATTTTCCCCAAATAATCACTGGGATATCCTCCAGTCCCGGGTTTCTATGATAAAGAACCTCCAAACATTCTCCCAAGATGGGCCACGTACATGGAGTACAGACCTTAGCCACAAAATGCCCCTAGAATCTGCCCTCCCCTAAGCCATTTCAGTGGGCCACTGGTACCCTGTACCCACATTACAAGAACTCATTTTATGCACAAGGATAAATCTGACCTCATGTCAGTTCCCCTGTCCTTCAATGGCTAGCCATTCATACCAGGTTAAAGTTCGATCCTTTATGATCTAGCACCTGCCTGCCTTGCCAGCCTCATCTAGGTCACTCTGTCACAATTCAACCACACTAACCTTCTGAGCTTCCTGAGTGTCTAGTGCTCTTACCCTTCTACATCTAAGCCCCCAAGTCCCTCATCTGAGATGCCCTCTATCTCTATGCTCAGCACTGCCATAAAGCAGTCCCTTGGGCTTTGTCTGCTAAAGGAGGGGAGCAAAGGAGGGAGGGAGGGAGGCAGGCAGGAGAACTGTGCCAAGGTCTCCCGTGCCGCCCCTCCCATTCTCCTTGGTCCTCTGGCCTAGCTCTCGTGCCTGAAATTCCACAACTAGTTATACACTTGCTTTGGTTTGCTTGTATTATACTTCTTGGTCACACCCACCATGCCTAGGTATCACCCCAAAAATTAAAACCTGGAATCCTAGCTTAAAGGTTTCTCAACCGTACTCAGCAGAACCCTCAGTTCAAATTCTGCCTTCATGTATTTATGCTGTTGTCTTTCCTACATGTGTGGCTTTATCCTTCCTACTAAATGGCTTACAGGAAGGGAGACACAGCCTATCCATTTGTTTAT